ACGTGTTTGAGAGAGGTGGGGCATAGAGGACCTACAATAATGTACAGTATTTGAAAAATAATGTGTTTTTTGAACATTAAAGCATGTCAACATATTCTGTTACACCAAATAATGATCTTTAAAAAGCATCATATGACCCCTTTAAAACATAACCGACTGCATTTACGAGAATGATCGTCGAGACGGGTACTATTGACATAATTCTGTGTGTATGTGTCTGTTCAAACATGAGAAGGAGGTGATGCGAAAGACGAATCAACTCGGTCTGAAACGCGTCTCTCTGTGCGTGCGCTTTGCAGGTGTGCGGCAGAACTGAAGAGACGCTGTGTGAGATGCGGCTTGTGAGCGCTTCAGGTGTGAGTCAAAACGGCAAAGAGTTGTTTTCTGCAACTTATTGCACTGAACTCTTTTCAACGTCAAGCAATTCTCTGCTATATGCGTCGAACTAAAACTTTGACCTTTTGCAACATTTTGATTTAAGTAGCCTATTATTAAAATGATAATGATATCGCACGCCGTTGCGATACGCATATTGCGATATTTCGATATATCGTGCAGCCATAATAGGTGGCAAAGCCCAAAGAACTCATGTTCAGCAATTAATATTGTGGCCTCCCACACTCGTGTTCATAACTAACATTTCATATGTTTCCAATTATTCCTCTGTGATCTTTTCATTACAAATTGCAAAGCCTTAAGCAAACATTTTTTTGCAAAATAAAAAAGGCCTAATCATTTTCAAAATGAGAGTTAAAACAGCTGTGAGGGTTTAATTGGGTCCGTGACCTTATTCCAGAGGCTTTATGTTTACATGCACATATTTGTGTGTTTCTGCGGGCACTTAACCCAGATCGGTGTCAGATGTGTGCGCAGATATCAGGTGAGTTTCCGCATGTAACCACAGTTTGCGCTCACTTATTTGCTGATATCAATGTTCAATTTACAGCAAACATAATTCAAATAAAAACATAAGCATACAACAAAACACACATAATACAAACATGGACATGGTCAACGACATGGAAAGTCGTATAAGATGTGGAGCAAGACATTACATTTTGAACGTTTTTTTTTCTTTGGAAGTATGGACTGACCCATTACGCACAAAAAGACCTGTACAACATGTAAAAAATAACATGTACAACAAAAGTAACTAGTCTGAGTTTTGATTTCATGCTGACATAGTAAAAATTTAAAATGATGCACTGCACAAAATAATGAATACAATATCCTGTCATTCTTTGTAAGAGATTAATTATGAAAAGCATGCAGACTTTGAATGGCAGAAATGTCTAGCACAGAAAATTCAAAAGATTACAAAGCACCGTGATTAAGGCTCAAGGAAAACATTCCTAAAAGTGCCTCACCTTTGTACGGCGAAAGCTTGCCTTCCTCTTTGGCTCTGCCTGCCAACTCCAGGAAATCTTCAATGAGGTCCAGAGAAATGAGAGACTGGCTGAACACCAACCTGAGCACACAGGACACGTGACCGTCACATATCTGATCGTATGACATGGAAGACGATAAATTCTGAGCCGGAGGAAGAACTGTTTGCTAATCTGACAAAACTTAACTCACACTTTTTCTTCCAATTCTTCAGCCATGCGGAGGATCTCAAAAAGCAGCACAATTTTCCCAGAATGCTCCAGCACCTCAGAATCTGTCTCGGTCACAAACTCTTTGTACCAGTCAGGGGATGGGCTGCCAGGACCTGAGTTTGACGGCCGAACTGAGGAAAACATCACAGATACACACTGTTGTGGCCATATTTGCAGAAAACTTGCACGGTAGGTATCAGATAAAAGTCGTTTCATTCAGTGTTCCTTTCCAGCTGTGGTGGCAGGACCCCTTCACCCAAGAATAATCTGCACTCAAACTCAGAATTCAATTTATTTTAACTAAAAAAGGCAAGTAAACAGTAAAAAATAAATAAATAAGACACAAATGAAATTAACAGTACATTAAGTTTTCCAGGTAGGTCTAACAGTAATATTTAGGTACAGAATTACTACTGAAACTGAACTCAACTGTAAAAAACAAAACAAAAAACAAATTCAACTGTAAAATAACACTGGATAGTCTTCACTGTATAATTAAATCATAATGACACAGACAGCAGCAGATTTATTTAGGCTGCTGAAGAATGTAGGTAACCAAACAGTTGATGGTCCCCATTGACTTCCACAGTACGGAGAAAGAAAAAAAAACATGCAAAAGTTTGGGAACCCATGGCAGGATCTGTGAAAATGGGAATAATTTTAACAAAATAAGAGAGATCATACAAAATGCATGTTATTTTTTATTTAGTACTATCCTGAGTAAGATATTTTACATAAAAGATGTTTACATATAGTCCACAAGACAAAATAATGGATTAAATTATAAAAATAACCCCCTTCAAAAGTTTGGGAACCCTTGGTTCTTAATACTGTGTGCGGTTACCTGGATGATCTATGACTGTTTTTTGTTTTGTGATGGTTGTTCATGAGTCCCTTGTTTGCTCTGAACAGTTAAAACTGAGCACTGTTCCTCAGAAAAATCCTCTGTGTCCTGCAGATTCTTCAGTTTTCCAGCATCTTTTGCATATTTGAACCCTTTCCAGCAGTGACTGTACGATTTTGAGATCCATCTTTTCACACCGAGGACAACCGAGGGACTCAAACACAACTATTAAAAAAGGTTCAAACATTCACTGATGCTCCAGAAGGAAACACGATGCATTAAGATCAAGGTAAATTGTACTTAATTTGTCTTCCTGGAAACATGCAAGTATCTTCTGTTGCTTCCGAAGGGCAGTACTAAATGGAAACAAATTATATTTCAGCAAAATAAGAGAAATTGGGATGACATCATCCTGTTCTTAATGCATCGTGTTTCCTTCTGGAGCATCAGTGAATGTTTGAACCTCTTTTAATAGTTGTGTTTGAGTCCCTCGGTTGTCCTCGGTGTGAAAAGATGGATCTCAAAATCGTACAGTCACTGCTGGAAAGGGTTCAAATATGCAAAAGATGCTGGAAAACTGAAGAATCTGCAGGACACAGAGGATTTTTCTGAGGAACAGTGCTCAGTTTAACTGTTCAGAACAAATAAATAACTCATGAACAACCATCACAAAACAGAAAACTGTCATAGATCATCCAGGTAACCGCACACAGTATTAAGAACCAAGGGTTCCCAAACTTTTGAAGGAGGTTATTTTTATAATTTAATCCATTATTTTGTCTTGTGGACTATATGTAAACATCTTTTATGTAAAATATCTTACTCAGGATAGTACAAAATAAAAAATAACATGCATTTTGTATGATCTCTCTTATTTTGTTAAAATTATTCCCATTTTCACAGATCCTGCCAGGGGTTCCCAAACTTTCGCATGTCACTGTATACTGTATATATTATGGAAGCCAATGGCTACCATCAACTGTTTGGTTACCAACACTCTTCAAAATATCTTCTTTCATACAGGTTTGGAACAACTTGAGTGTGAGTAAATGATGAGTCCATTTTTAGGGGAACTATCCTTCTTTTCACACTGAGGACAACTGAGGGACTCAAACACAGCTATTAAAAAAGGTTCAAACATTCACTGATGCTCCAGAAGGAAACACGATGCATTAAGATCAAGGTAAATTGTACTTAATTTGTCTTCCTGGAAACATGCAAGTATCTTCTGTTGCTTCCGAAGGGCAGTACTAAATGGAAACAAATTATATTTCAGCAAAATAAGAGAAATTGGGATGACATCATCCTGTTCTTAATGCATCGTGTTTCCTTCTGGAGCATCAGTGAATGTTTGAACCTCTTTTAATAGTTGTGTTTGAGTCCCTCGGTTGTCCTCGGTGTGAAAAGATGGATCTCAAAATCGTACAGTCACTGCTGGAAAGGGTTCAAATATGCAAAAGATGCTGGAAAACTGAAGAATCTGCAGGACACAGAGGATTTTTCTGAGGAACAGTGCTCAGTTTAACTGTTCAGAACAAATAAATAACTCATGAACAACCATCACAAAACAGAAAACTGTCATAGATCATCCAGGTAACCGCACACAGTATTAAGAACCAAGGGTTCCCAAACTTTTGAAGGGCGTTATTTTTATAATTTCAGCTATTTTTTTTTGTCTTCTGGACTAAATGTCAACATCTTTTATGTAAAATATCATACTCAGGACAGTACTAAATAAAAAATAACATGCATTTTGTATTATCTCTCTTATTTTGTTAAAATTATTCCCATTTTCACAGATCCTGCCAGGGGTTCCCAAACTTTCGCATGTCACTGTATACTGTATATATTATGGAAGCCAATGGCTACCATCAACTGTTTGGTTACCAACACTCTTCAAAATATCTTCTTTCATACAGGTTTGGAACAACTTGAGTGTGAGTAAATGATGAGTCCATTTTTAGGGGAACTATCCTTTTAACCGCTATTAGTAACAACAGCACTGCTTAACTCCTATCTGTACAGTTGATTTTGTCAGTAAGCTCAGTCATACCCTCTTCCACAGGCTCTGCTCTGTTGCGCCCCTCAGGGTTTCCTCCACGAGAGCTGGTGTTCCACTCCTTAATCACTTCCAGGTCATCGCTGTCGGACTTGTCTGAGCTCTGCTCTTTCCCTTTGCCTCGTTTCTTCTTTCTGTACGGGGGTTTAGAGAACCAGATCAGTCATAATACAGGAAGTAAACAGTACAGTTACCAAAGAAGAGCAAAGACTCATCTCAAACCTTTTGGGCTTCTCATCTTCAGAGGTCAAACTCATGGAGGACTCCTCGGTCTCTGAGGCTATGAACTCCTCCATACTGTCCTCGTCGAAGTATCCCTGTTAGCATGGAGGGGGGAAAAGCAGTAAAGCAGCTGCAATTGTAATCAGTTAAAGAGCTAATTCAACCAAAAATCAAGATATTTTGAATGAAACCCCCATTGAAAGTCCAGGTAACCAAAACGTAGAACATCCAAAAAGGTTGTAAAAGCGTTGTAAAATAAATGCACGTGATTTGAGCGGTTTAATGCATGTATTGCGAAGAGCTTAATACGATAAACCGATTTAATATAGGCTTTTATACACACAAAGATACAGCACGTCACATGTTTGTGTATGTACCAAATGTGAAGTGCTCCATGTATGTTTGTCAGTCATTTTGAATAGATTAAATGTAGGCTTTTATTTAAATCATATAAAGCGATTGTGTCTCTTTTCATTTGGATTAGGATGGATTTATGACTATTTTGGATCTTTAAACGTTTGGTTACAGGACTTTGTATGGAGGGACAGAAATCTCCCGAGATTTCATTTTAAATATCTTCATTTGTATTTCAAAGAAAGTCTTCTGGACTATCTTTGGACGGTGAGTAGATGACAGAATTTTCATGTTGGGTGAACTATCCCTTTAAATGATCTAATGGCTTGTCTAGTTTTCTAGGGATTAACATAATAAACCTGGGATAGATAATGTGAACCTGAGAATGTACAAAAGTGCTTCTTTGGCAACTAAAGAACATCATTTGGCTCCTGTATATGCGTCCTGGCGCATATCCTGGCGTCCTGTATGTGCACAGAAAGCGATGACTCCAGGCAAACTTTCCCTTCAAGTAAATTCCCCCGGGGTTGTGTTTTCAGAGAAGTCTGCAGTCCGCTGTCTTTATTACCTCACCTTGTTTTCTTTACTGATATAGTCCAGCTGGAGGCACCACGGATGGGTCCAGATTCTGCTGAGCATCTGGAAATCCTGGAAGAGTTTGGTCCCAGCGCGGCCTCTTCCACTCTCCAAGGCAGAACCGACACCTGTTCAGAGGGAGACGTTTAGCGCCCGCTGCTGGCACGGTTTCTAGCCCAGCGTGCCAGAGCACGGCGCACCACAGCGCCCTAAATCCTGAATTCAGATTAGCCCAGAGGATTAAGTGAGCAGGTAAACAAGGTCTTAGGACTGTGAGAGGCTCACGTTGCCCGTTTTCACACTGATACTTAGAGAAGCAAAGCAACAAAATCCTCCACTCCACCAAAAGAAAAAAAGAAAAGAAAAAAAACATGCCTATGCAAGAAAGGCTTTGCTACAAACATCTTAAAACTGCTGTGCGCCATTTCTGCAATTCACCAAGCGGATTTGCCAAACAAATGACTGGCTATGTTTAAAAAGAAACACTAGCATACTGAATATAGCACAGTGCCTGAACCCTGTCTACTAGAGATAGGCACGAGTACCTGAGTGACGCTGAAAATCCATCATAACAGCGATGATTGCGTGACTGGAATCACTTTGATAAGGAAAACAGTGAATCTGTCATACACATAACATTATAATGAGAACACTATGGTCACAACATTGTAAATAAATTATTTGTGCTTTAGTTGTAAGTGTCCCCCTGAAATCAAAACTTAAGTTTTTGTTTTTTTTTACTGTATGATTATGTAAGTCTTAAGTTTATCTATAAGCTAGTGTTCCAGAACAATGCCAAAATTAATATTTAGACAATATATGCATTCAAAATGGACAGTCTCTCTACCACTAAATACAGATCAGATTTGCACTTCAGCTTCTCATCAGATTATTTTGTCCAATCAAATGCTCTCTAGAATCTGAAGCATCCCAGACCTTACACTATAAAAGACACTAAAGCTGCGGCTGAAATCGATCACTTGTTATTATTATATATAGCGACTAGTACATATTGCATTATATACTTTCACTCAGGGCCTAAAATTAACTTTTTGCCACACCTGCTAATGGCCGGTGACATGATAAAATTTACCGGCCCAAATTTTTTTTACCGGCCATGAAACTCTTTTTGCAAAAACAGGCAGCTATTACTACTACAATAACTAAACATATTTACAGTGTTTTTAATTTGTCCTGCTGGTGCATTTTCCCTCAGTTTTACCTATTAATTATAGCCATTTAATTGAAAGCCATTATTTTTAACATTTAATAGGCTCTGAAATATATAACAACTTTTAATTTAAGTTAATTTTTAAGTGATTTTAAAAATCTTCACACAAACTATATTATATATGCATAAACTATACATATTAATCTTTATTCAAGCTAAAAAATTTAATCAGCGACTAGAACAGTCCAAGGATTTCTCTTTTTATTTTGTTCTCTGATATAAATCAATGACAGACTTCAGCAGATTTCACTTTAAAATCAGCGCCGTCTCTTTAAAACCTGATGCATGTGACGCAGATCTGACACACATCCAATTTTCTCCCAACTCTTTACGGTCATTTAAGACTTTATAACTCATTTAAGACTCCGTTTACAAGGTAACTCGCCAAAACCGCGCATTTTGACATAATTGTGTGTGTGTTTTTGTCCGTTGAAGCACTACTGGTGAGCTGTCTGGAGCGGCTCAGAATACAGCCCAACGCGCAACCTTTCAAACTATACTTCACTGACTGCACCGTTTAGGCGGCGTAACCCTAGGTAGCCTATGTGTCGCCGCATTCTCGGGTTATGAAGAATAAAGAAGGGAAAAGTGAATCTTCCGAAATGAAGCAGCAAAATCTTCTCAGCTAAAAGTTATTAGAAGCGTGTCTAGGGGCAAGCTGGCCATCACACTGCTCTGACCTTATCAGTCCGTTTGGATCATATTATTTGATTCGCTCTTCTCGCTTATGACAGAACAGCTAATCATGATGATCGGGTCTTCGGAAAAGATTATTTTATTTGCTTGTGTCAGAAACAGCGAATCTCTTTCAAAACTGGCTGTTGTTTTCACATCATTGCATTGTTATAATTCGTAAAAGTTGTACTGGCGACTGACACGGTTACATGGATTCGCCAACGCTGATTTTTACTCGCATTTGGCGCTTGGGCGAGTGTTAATTTTAGGCCCTGCTTTCACTATATATTTTGCACTTTCCATTGGGGTGAATAAATTCTAATTTCTTTGTTTGGTTACAGGACTTTGTATGGAGGGACAGAAATCTCCCGAGATTTCATTTTAAATATCTTCATTTGTATTTCAAAGAAAGTCTTCTGGACTATCTTTGGACAGTGAGTAGATGACAGAATTTTCATGTTGGGTGAACTATCCCTTTAGGATAGTTCAAGGGGTTAACATAATAAACCTGGGATAGATAATGTGAACCTGAGAATGTACAAAAGTGCTTCTTTGGCAACTAAAGAACATCATTTGGCTCCCTAGTCATTTTTTTGGGGGTCTGGCATCCTGTATGTGCACAGAAAGCGATGACTCCAGGCAAAGTTTCTCCTCAAAAAGTCTTCTGGACTATCTTTGGATGGTGAGTAGATGACAGAATTTTCATGTTGGGTGAACTATCCCTTTAGGATAGTTCAAGGGGTTAACATAATAAACCTGGGATAGATAATGTGAAACTGAGAATGTACAAAAGTGCTTCTTTGGCAACTAAAGAACATAATTTGGCTCCCTAGTCCTTTTTTTGGGGGTCTGGCATCCTGTATGTGCACAGAAAGCGATGACTCCAGGCAAAGTTTCTCCTCAAGTAAATTCCCCCGGGGTTGTGTTTTCAGAGAAGTCTGCAGTCCGCTGTCTTTATTCTTTATACACTTTCCATTGGCGTGAATAAAGTCTAATTTCGCACCAGCATCACACGAATCTCCACAGTGCAAACAATCTCCGTTGTTACGCGAAGAGAGTATCTACAACGGGAGGTAAACATTTTGACTAGCACGGTCAAGTTCACTTGTGCATTTGCATCCTTTTGTGCAAATGTAAGTTGTAATGTTATGCTTATGTTTTGTACCTGATTGATATCACAAAGGAGGCGTTTGGTTAGGTGAATTAACCCGCTTTAGTTTACTGTTGTTCAGTCGCTCTTCAGATTCAGCTCAAGCGTCGGTCACGCTACACTTTACATTCCATTGACTTCCATTTATACTCATGTGAATGCGTGAGACAGGAAATGCAAGCTTATACAAATTTTGATGCATTCTGCAAACTTCAAGGTAGGTGTACTCTAACCTGCGAATTCGTAACATGTGAAAACTTGTGACCAATAGTAGATTAATATGTCACGGTTTGACCTCTTGAATTAAAAGAATGTCAACTTTAAATCTGCAGGATTGCAGTAAAGTAAGAATGCATATTTTTGCTTTTTAGATGTATCATATGTTGCACATGCTCAAAGTCTAGTGTGACCGCAGCGATGCACAACATTAGTGACTAATATTGGAGTATTTGAAGCAATCATATCCCTTTTAAACATCAATGTTATGTTATTAATAATCTAACCACTTAAATTTTTCTCATACTAATACCAGGTACAAACGGGGCCAGAGTATAGTCATCGCTGCATACAAAGATGGGATAGAATTAGTATAGGATAGCAGCATAGCTGGGATAGTACTTGAACAAAAAAAAAAAAGTCACAGCAGCTTTAACACTGTCTAAAATGCTGAATGCGAGTTCAGCTAAATGCAGCATGAAATTGGATCAGGGTTCAGGTAAAGCAGGCCACCAGGACAAAAGCTCAAGCATTAAGGCAAAGACAGTGTCTGTTTGGTGGTCTCTGGGGGTATGCACCCACAGTCACAACAGCAGTGCAGTAGCATAGCAGCGAGCTCTGAGGAAAGCTGGCCTAATGAGCCTCTGGCTGGGAAATTCTCCCAAAGCTCTTCATTAGATAAGGACGTGGGAATTGGTTCAGATCGCCCTGCGGCCTGGTGCCAGCTGCCATTCAAACTCTCCCAGCTGCGGAGCTGCTTCAGAACAATCGCGGCCTGAGCAATAACACCACTAAACCACTTAATTGAAAAAAATCAGAGCTAGGGGGGAAAAAGCTGGTTTCAACTCAGGAGACTCAAATCTCCAAACTGAAACGGAACATTCAGTAGAAACCTGATGTAAAATGAGATTTTATCAAAACTTGTAAAACTGTGCTGAGTTTTACAAGTTTTGATAAAATCTCACTTTATCAATTTTTTTTTTTCTTCCCACTGGTCAAATGGTCTCTGTTTGTTCAGCATTATGACTATTTGCACTGATGAGTCCGGAGATGTTTACTATGAAAATAATTAGGGAAAATGTTTCTGTAACAACAAAGAGCAAATGTGAAATAAACAGAAGTGTGTAGTGTGATGTAGAGTTGTACCTGTAAAGTGATCCAGATAGTATCGGTAAAGCTTGCACTGAATGGGTGATAACCGTACCGCTAACACATACTCGTGTTTTGGTGGCAGGAATTTTGTAAGGGCAGTGTAGTCTCTTCTCTGTGGAAAACAACCATTTTTACAAGACTGTTACTCACAAACAAGCACTGAATATATCACTCATTTATGGATATGTATTATGCAAAATCACATGACTTGACAAATAAATCTATAATATTCAAACTTTGAGTGGCTGTGGTCATTCGGCTTACTTGGACGCATCCTGCCAGCATCTCGTAGAGGATGTGTGCACGCTTCTTCATGACTCGGACATCAACGAACGTGGAGTCTGCGCACTGGCCGTTCTGGATGGGGTTGATGAAGCGGTTTCTGAACTCTTTCACTGATCCCAGCAGATTCTCCTTGATGAAGTTCACCATACAGTGATCTGAGAGGAGACAATGACACTTATTCAAGGCTTTCCACATTCAGAATGATTTGTTTTCCACCTCAATGGCACAACCATGAACTGCCATAGACTACCTGAAGCATAATGGACATATAATACTCCAGACCGACTAGCTGCAATGAAATTTCTGGGAGTCAAGAAGCACTGACTGTTTAGAGCTAGTTGGAGGTTAGATTTTTTCCCCCCTAAAGCAATAATTTAGTATTTAAAGCTGCAGTCCATAAGTTTTGCCTCTTTGTCGCCATCTCCGTTTGAAAACCTGCAATTGCAGCTGTTTGCGGAATTATCTTCATTGTGTGGTTTGTGCTCCGGCACGGCTCCAGCGCAGATGAATGTAATGTTCTGAAGAGTATGTGTGTGTGGCAGTCAGTCACTGCACTGATGTGGATATTTAATGTACTTTGCAATCACAGATTCTAGCCTATGTCTTGGAATATATGACCCAAATAAGCATTTTCACTGGATATTGCCATCTGAACAAGTAAGTAACAAGTCTGCCACGTTTGTTCTGACCAACTGAGGAAAAAAGCATTGCAAAAATCGCACTACCGATGGAGATTGAATCTAAAGATCAGTTAGCTCATATCACATCAAACCGTGCAAATTATTTTTTATTATTATTATTATTATATACTTTATCCTTAAACGAGTAATGTTAACAACATCAGCATTGCATGACTGAGTATAGTCTGTATAAGCAAGTAGATTTCAATTTCTGCACAGTCTAATCTCTAATTGTCATACCACTCGAATTTCATATTAAGAAATTATTTTAACCCAAAAAGCAAACTATGCTCCCTTTGAACTGGCTGTCTTTATAATACAAATCTTGTGTAATCCCAGGCTATCTGTAATCAGACGCACATTTAAAACTGCAATATAATTAAAATTTCATTCACATGTGATTCATAAACACAGTCCTTTCCATCTGAACAAGTAAGTAACAAGTCTGCCACGTTTGTTCTGACCAACTGAGGAAAAAAGCATTGCAAAAATCGCACTACCGATGGAGATTGAATCTAAAGATCAGTTAGCTCATATCACATCAAACCGTGCAAATTATTTTTTATTATTATTATTATATACTTTATCCTTAAACGAGTAATGTTAACAACATCAGCATTGCATGACTGAGTATAGTCTGTATAAGCGAGTAGATTTCAATTTCTGCACAGTCTAATCTCTAATTGTCATACCACTCGAATTTCATATTAAGAAATTTTAACCCAAAAAGCAAACTATGCTCCCTTTGAACTGGCTGTCTTTATAATACAAATCTTGTGTAATCCCAGGCTATCTGTAATCAGACGCACATTTAAAACTGCAATATAATTAAAATTTCATTCACATGTGATTCATAAACACAGTCCTTTCTGGATTACAATCCGCCATTAAAATTATAAATTTAATTATTCTGGCTGCTGTGAGAAAAGGCTACAAACGATCCGCCACCTGCAGGATCCTCACATCCAGCCTAGTAGCCGGGACAACTTCTTTATGTTTACAGACGTGACGTAATGATCGAATTCGTGCCATGATCAAATTTCCCGCGAAAACCTACCCGTACCACTCAAATTAGAAAACATTATTATAAGCTAACCGTTGTGAATCTGGCTAAAGTAAGGCGATAGTTTTGAACACTGGCTGGTTATGTACTTGCTCAAATATTGTTGCTGGCCTCAAAAAAATTAATAAATAACAACCATATTGGTCACTCACACTCTATCAGGTTGTTCTGCAGTGGCGTTCCTGTCAGCACCACTCGCCGACGAGTCGTGATGGAGTTCATGGCTTTGGAGACAGCAGACGCTTCGTTCTTCAGCACGTGACCCTCATCACAGATGACAAAATCTGGACCTGTACATCAAAACATTATTCATTCAGTTAATTTCCACCATCTGAATGTGTGCAGTGCTGACATGAAGTGCTCCCACAGCTTCTGACTAGCGTTGCATGATATACCTGTACTAAAATCTTGATACCTTGCTTTCAAAAATGGTATGATTCCTCATTTTATTAGTACCGGTACTTTAAGAATAATGGTGTTTTAATAAGAGCTGTATTTCCTGAGCTGCGTCGATGTGCAGCATCAGGGCAATGTGTGTGTGTGTGTGTGTGTGTGTGTGCAGCGCTCTGCTTCCACTCCATGCATGCACACTGGCCGTGACAAACTTTATATATCCATGCGGAGAAGGACTTCCGCAAGTTATTGACAATTCAAGAGTGAATAAGAAACATGCATGAATGAGAAAATAAAGCGCAGGACGTGTTCAATGATATAAAGAGATATTAACTTCGAAAAACTCACCATCACAAACTCAAAGCATGCTCACGGAGAGCCACCTCTCTCAGCACGTGATCGTGAATTCAGATCTCTTTCAAGAGTTATTGCGCTTCAACGGTCAAATACACACAATTATGTTAAAATTCCCGTCTTTACTCAAGGGAATGTAAACAGCTGAGAAAGAGAACGCAAGTGTATCAATATATTTGATCCGTGCAGCTCTTAAAGTGACAGCAGGCTAATATTCCTGCTGCTGTCTGTATCAATTAGTCAAACAAAAGAAAAAAAAGAGAAAATCACTCACTTATCTTGACTGACAAACTTTAGTAGCTTTAATAAGGATCAATGTAGGAATGTTTAATTCATAGAGTGAAGACTATACAGTGCTTTATACTTTTACATTTTGATGATTCCATTTCTGTATTATCTCTTACACGAATGCTGCTGTTAAACAGACCTACTGTACCTAAAAACACTGTTTATTTAATTTGTGTTGTGGTATTTGTCATTTTGTTTGTTACATGCATCTATGTTCTTATTATTAATAATAAAGATAAATTAACACAAATTATTATATCATGATATAAATTGTTATTGTGAAATAGAAGTATTCATATTGTGAAATAAGATTTTAGTAATATTTCCCATCCCTAGCTCATGCCCTGAAGTCAAATGAGTGTGATTTATTTTGTGACATAAACTGTTTCACCATCTGAGTTTGATGGGCAATTAAGGGTTCTATTAATTGTTTTTTTTAAATGATAAATAAAATAATAATAATAAATCAAATTTTCCTGTTGTTTTCGATTTTTGTGTTGGTATCGGTTCAGTAGTAGTATCAAGATAGTCAGGTATTGCATCAAAGTCAAAATTTTGGTATCGTGACAACAGTACTACTGACAAACACATTTTCAACTAAAGCTGCAAGCAGTGTTGAAAGGGCCCTCGAAAATGCCCTATCAAACAGCCCTATTTACAATAGTTTTCTAATTTTAAGAATTCCTTCACAAAAATCATTAGCAAATCAAACATTTTACTGAATAATCTATATATATATATTAGGGCTGCACACTTAATCGAATTTCTAATCACGATTACAATTATGGATGCCACAATTATGTAATCGTTCAAAGCAGCAATTAATCGTTATATATATATATATATATATATATATATATATACACATATATAAGTTTTTCATGACTTCTCCATGACAGTTTTGAGTGGAAGCGCTTTGCTAATGCAGTAACTTCACCTGGATCAACTAGAGTTTTCTGAAAGACTTCTTTCAGCTTCTTGCTCTTGATGTTTCGTCCTTGCGTGAGGTTGCGGTACATCTCATAGCCTATAATCATAACGCCGCCATCCTCCTGCCAGCGCTGTAAAGCGTACGCTCTCTCCTGAGGTCTCTTCACTGTGGCCAGCTCTGTCACCTGAAACACAAGGAAGGAAAAGACACCGACATACAGTGAGATTAAATGTCAACAACTAACTCCTGTAACTGATCACTGAAGCTGTGGTTCTCAGCTGGTTTCTTTTTACTGGACAAGTGGCAAAATATGTATTAAGAGGAAAGTACCAACACTTGCATTTGTTAAACAGGTTTATTTAATTTCTAATTAAATTAGGATTGTGCACATGACACACCATAAAATGCTGAGGATAGCCAATCACAACAGTTCATTTACATATACATATCTTAAAGGTGCACCAACAAAAACTCCTTAATTAAAACTTTTTTCCCCATTTAAATTCTCGACACACATTACATACAATATGGTCACTTCAAAATACATTTTTACTTTATTAGGTTTCAAATGGACCCTTGTGAATAATTAATGATGGTAATGTGTAATGGGAAGATCTACGTGATACAATACCAAATCTCTACCTCTAAACTCTCCTCATCCTTCAGGCCTACTTGCCACTTTTCAAACTCATTGAGCCAGTTGAGCACAGTGTTGAGAGGACACACCACCAGAGCTGTGCTGAAGTTCATCTTCTCGCACAGCAGCACAGTGTGGAGAAACGTCACCACCTGCAGGATGACAAGAGAACAGCAGAGTCAAACACTACCCATCTCCTTCTATATATATATATATATATATATATATATATATATATATATATATATATATATATATATATATG